TCAAATCATTCATTATCCAGGCAGTCTTATCTTATTCTCCTGATGGATTGCAAGATGCAGAATTCCCAATTACTGTGGCCCACTGCAATGAGGTTTCCTATAGAAGCTGTGACAGATAGGGAAAAGACCGGTGATGGGATATCTCAAACAATTACTAAAGCATCTTTACCGCTGGCCCTTTCATCCAGATAACTTCAGCTACTGTCATTCCATTCATTGGAGAAATGAGAAGTCTGTTTGTTAGAACATAGATAAGCAAAAAGGCAGGGAGAACAGCAGAGTTTAGGTCAAAATTTAGCAGTGTAAAAAGAGGACAGAGAGGGGGCGTGGACTGGATCAGTGGTCGGTTGCCCCCGTTTCGGACCGGTTCGCAAGAACCGGTAGTAAAACCGGTGGGAGGTGCCGCCCACCGCTCTGGATGTCGTCATCGGTGATCTGCGCATGTGCAAAAGCCTCTGCCTATGCGCAAAAGCGAGCGAGCGCGATCCCGTTGCAAACCGGTAGTAAAGGTAAGTAGAACCCACCCCCGGATTGGATGGATCGATAGGTGGGTGGGTAGATAGGTAGAAATAGATAGATAGATAGATAGATAGATAGATAGATAGATAGATGTAGGTAGGTAGGTAGGTAGGTAGGTAGGTAGGTAGGTAGATAGATAGATAGATGATAGATAGATAGATAGATAGATAGATAGATAGATAGATAGATAGATCGGTAGGTAGGTAGGTAGGTAGGTAGGTAGGTAGGTAGATAGAAGATAGATAGATAGATAAATAGATAGATAGATAGATAGATAGATAGATAGATGTAGGTAGGTAGGTAGGTAGGTAGGTAGATAGATCGGTAGATAGATAGATAGATAGATAGATAGATAGATAGATAGATGATAGATAGATAGATAGATAGATAGATAGATAGATAGGTAAAGCTTACAAAATGCTGGGACCTATGGAGAGGGGGGAAGGGAGGGAGAGAGAGAAATTGAACTGAATACTTTATTTGGCCAAGTGTGATTAGACACACAAGGAATTTGTCTCCAGTACAGAAGCTCTCAGTGTACATGCAAAGCAACAGAATAACAATAATGCTAATAATGCTAATAATGCTAATAATGCTAATGATAACAACAACAACAACAACAACAATAATAATAATAATAATAATAATAATAACAGAAAAGAAAATTAATATTAAAAATAATAGTTGACAAAAAAAAGTATGGTTCATTGACATTGCAATACCTGGTGATGCACGGATTGAAGATAAGCAGCAAGAAAAAATCACAAAGTACCGGGACTTGCAAATTGAAGTTGAGCGACTGTGGAAAAAGAAATTGTGTGTTGTCCTGATTGTAATTGGAGCCCTTGGAGCAATACCCAAAGGGCTACCCCGCTATTTAGAAATCCTAAATTTGCCGGACTTGAACATTTTGACTCTACAAAAAACCACCTTACTCGGAACAGCTTACATCCTCCGACGATACCTTAACAGTTCCTAGGTCCTTGGTTAGGACTCGAGCTGCTGAGCTATTAACCAGCCTCAAAGGCTGTGAATCTCACTAAAGATTAACCAATAATAATAATAATAATACCACCAATAAAAGGTGTGAATAAAGAAGATAATAAGAATGAATGCTACACGGGTAAGTATACGCAAACATTAGGTAGCTCTGTGAGAATTAGGTGTTTAGCAGAGAAAGAAAGAGAGGATAGAAGAACATACAGTATGTCTTAATATCCTTTTTTCTGAAGTTTACCAGGAACTCTTCAAAAACATGCGTCTGACAATATAATCAATAAGTCCAGTCTGAGAGGCTTCCCTTTTTCCCCCTTTCATTCATGTTTCTGTAACGTAGATTTATTTGCGCAGTGACAAAACCCAGGAATGTTGTTAGTGAAAATTCTCAGCTATTCTGTTAGATCTTACTCATGTAAACATCCAGATCTAATGTGTTTATTTTTCACTGCTTTGAGTACAACTTGGGTATCTATCAGACTCACACATATCTTGAATGTTTTGCAATCGTAAACCCTGTTGTAAGGCGAATGGATCTTAGGATCTTGTCTCTTGAATTAACTCAGAGCTCTTAACCTTTGACTTCTGTTTATAGCCCCTTCGCTTCCCACCATTGATAAATAATCGAAAGTACCCATTTAAGGAGCTGCTGGTTTACCTTTTAAGTATCACACAAGTCCCACAGATAGTCTTTATGTATTTTTAGAACAACGGTGGAGAACTGTCTTCAATCCAAGGACTACACTTGTTTATATGATCTCTTCTGAAAGCCACATGTCAAAGAAAATATATTTGTAGAATCAAGTCTCCCCATACTCTTTCTCCAGCAGGCAAGCTTATTGGATCTCATGTCACTTTTGAAGTGTATGCCATTTATTTATTTATGATATTTTTTGCCCCAACTTTATTACTTTATTTTTATTTATTTATTTATTTATTTTAATTTGATTTATATGCCGCCCTTCTCCGAAGACTCAGGGCGGCTTACAATGTGCTCAGCAATAGCCTTCATCCTTTTGTATATTTATACAAAGTCAGCTTATTACCCCCACAAACTGGGTCCTCATTTCACCTACCTTAGAAAGGATGGAAGGCTGAGTCAACCTTGAGCCTTGGCGAGATTCGAACCCTGCAGTAATTGCAGGCAGCTGGTCTTAATAATCAGCTTAATAACAGGGTGCCTTAAACCCCTGTACTACCAAGGCTCTTTATAAGTAACTCAATAGAATAGAATTCTTTATTGGCCAAGTGTGATTGGACACACTCTTGTGGTCCAACAGCAGCCTGCGGAGGTTGCAGTGGAGTCGGACAGTGAGGAGGCTGGGGAGGAACATGGGCCAGTCCTGGAGTTTGGGAAAGGCCTGGACGAGGGCTCTGTGTCGGAGGCAGAGATGGCGCCAGGGTCATCTGGGAATGATGCGCAGACTCCAGAGCCCCCAGAATCGGATAGCAGAGAGGCAAAGGAACAGGAGGAGCCTGTTCCTAGTGCACGCATGCGCAGAGCTGCCAGTAGGCAAGAGCAGCTAAAGCAAAAGGGACGACTCAGGAGTAAGGCCAGGAGATGATTGGCCCCTCCATAAGGCTTAAAAGAGAAACAAAGGCCTTTTGCAGGAATGCAACGTTGCTAACTCTGTTTCCAGTCGGCATCTCTTGTTTGTTTCTGAACTTCGTGGGGCTTTGCCAAGTAAGGCCTTTGGCAGGGTGTCAAAGAAGATAAAGGTTGGTGATTATCCCAAAGGACTTCTTCCCAAGGACGATCGGCAACTAATTGGGACTCAGCTGGGAATGAGCGTAATTCTCGGCTGTTATAATAAAATAGGAGTTTTTTGGGGACTAATTGTGTATTGTAATAACTCAGTAAGCCTAGGTCACAACACACACAAGGAATTTGTCTTGGTGCATAGGCTCTCAATGTACATAAAAAGACAGGATACACTCGTCAAAAATCACAAGGCACAACACCCAGTGACAGTTATACGGTACAATAAGCAATTTAATCATATTAGGAAATGATCAATTTCAATATACATCGCAAGAATACAAGCAACAAAGTTACAGTCATGAAGTCACAAGTCAAGGCAGCAAACATACACAATACACCTTTATTCTCCCATTTTCCTCGCAACAACAACAACACCTATGAGGTGGGTTGGATAGAGAGAGAGAGAGAGTGATTGTGCCAGGGTCAGCCAGCCAGCTTTCATGGCTAAGGTGGGACTAGAACTCACTGTATCCTGGTGATAGGAGGAGGAGGGGGGAGGAGGAGGAGGAGGAGGAGGAGGAGGAGGAGGAAAAGGAAAGAAGGAAGAAGGAAGGAGGAGGAGGAAAAGAAGAAGGAGGAGGAGGAGGACTGAGGTATCCTTAGTGCTCTCTGAGCTTGATAGTTTTTCTTGCAGATGTTTCCCCACCAAACTAGGTAACATCAGTGCTAGGAGGTAGTGAGACAGACAGCAAATCCCGCATCCTCCTAGCACTGATGATGCCACCTAGTTGGGTCGTGAAATGTCTGCACAAAAAAAAAAAAAAAATCCACCAAACTCAGAGAGCACCCAAAGTCCCCTCCTTTCAACCCCGGAGCTACAAATATTCTTTCTTCTTCTTTTTTTAAAAAAAATATTTTATTTGGTAGGAAGCTTTCAAGTCCGTTTTTTTGTAAGGAGGGGTGGAACCAAGATGAAATCCCAAATAAGAACAGCTTCTTAAGGAAAGGGCCAGGGAAATCTGTTTATTTATTTATTTATTGGTTCAATTTATATGCCGCCCTTCTCCGGAGATTCAGGGCAGCTTACAATGTGTTAAGCAACAGCCTTCATACTTTTGTATATACCTGCTTAGTAGGGCTTTCGGGCCCCCTCCCAAGTGGTGTTCTTTTTTATACAAAGTCAGTTTATTGCCCCCACAATCCGGGTCCTCATTTTACCTACCTCGAAAGGATGGAAGGCTGAGTCAACCTTGAGCCTGTTGAGATTTGAACTCGCAGTAATTGCAGGCAGCTGGTGCTAGTTAACAGCACATTAGTCTGCTGCGCCACCAAGGCTCCAAGGTTTGTTTAATTAATTAATTAAAGAAAGAAAGAAAGGGCTGGGGGAATCTGTTTAATTAATTAATTAATTAAAGAAAGGGCCGGGGAATCTGTTTAATTAATTAATTAATTAAAGAAAGGGCCGGGGGAATCTGTTTAATTAAATAATTAATTAATTAATTAAAGAAAGGGCCGGGGGAATCAGTTTAACTAACTAACTAACTAACTAACTAGCTAACTAAGTAACTAACTAACTAACCGAGCTTTTAAACTGCGCTGGCTCCCGCGCCGCCCTCCCTCTCTCCCTCCCTCCCTCCCCGCATCCTCTCCGGGCGGTCCCATCCCCGCCGCGCGGCCGGGGATGCGGTTGCCGGGGCAACGGAGACCAGCATCTCGGGTCGCCTAGCAACCGGCTCTGCCCGGGCTTCCTTTCCCCGCCTGCTCCGCGGCCTCCCTCTTTCTCTCTCTCTCTCTCCGTCTCTCCTCCCACCCGGCGCTGGGATCAAGCCAGGCGGGGAATGCGCAAGCTCGGCCCGGCGAGAACGGACGCCCCGAGTCCCTCGGCATCATGGCGCTTTGGCGGCCGGCGCTGCTGCTCCTCCTCCTCCTCCTCCTGCTCCGTGAGTCTCGCCCGGGTGGTTGTGTGTAATGCGGATGGGTGGGAAACGGGGGGGGAATCCCTCGATGGAGGGAAAGGAGGCGAGGCGGACCCAAAGGAGAACCCGGGCGGGGTCTTTCCAAGCTGGGGGGGGGGGGGGGAAAAAGGGGGGGGGGGGGGGGGGGTCTCATTCTTTCCCAGTCTTAACAGCCCCCTTTCTCTCCCTCCCCCCCAACCCGGGAGTTCCTATTGTTTGCAGCATCCACTAGTTGCAAAGTTAGGAGATGCGTGTCTTGGGAGGGGGGGATTGTGTGGGGGGGGTCCTTTGGGGAGTTTTTCCTCCCTAACCCATCATCCTTGGGCAGAGAGTTCCTGAGACAATAGGCCCCTAGGCGTGTTTCCCTCAAGGGTTGGTGTGTGTTGTGTGTTTTGTGTGTGTGTTTGTGTGTCTTACAAAGGGTGTAAGGAAAGGAAAACTTTTCTCTGGTCCAGCATCTGGGACAAAGGGAAAGGAGTTGTAGCTGCTTTGGAAAGAAAAAGGAAAAGTTTTTTTTGTTGTTGTTGTTGCTCTTTTCAAGGCCTGAACCAAAAAGATTTGCGAGTTGGGCGATTGTGGGTTTTCGAACAAAATAAAGGCGTTGAATGCTGTAAATATTTTGCCTGCTGCCTGGCTCAGGAGTAACTCCTAAAGTAGCTGCCAGACCTACACACTCACACTCACACCCTCCTCCGTAGTTGTTCCACTGACTATACCATTGGAGGGTGTCCTGGGGAGCTTTTCCTGAGTTGGTAGAAAATGTACGTTCTTGTGAAGGAAAGAAGGGAGGGAGGGAGGGAGGATGGATGGATGGATGGAAGGAAGGAAGAAGGGAAGGAGGGAAGAAGGAAGAAAGGAAGGGAGGATGGAAGGAAGGAAGGAAGGAAAGGAGGGACGGAGGGAGGATAAATGGATGGAAGGAAGAATAAGGGAGGGAAGGAAGGAAGGAAAGAAGGGAGGGTGGATGGATGGAAGGAAGGGAGGAATAAGGGAGGGAGGAAAGGAAAGAAGGAAGAAAGTAAGGAAGGGAGAGAGGGAGGGAAGGAAGGAAGGATGGAAGGAAGGAAGGAAGAAAAGGGAGGAAGGGAGGGAGGATGGATGGAAGGAAGGAAGGAATAAGGGAGGGAGGGAAGGAAAGAAGGAAGAAAGTAAGGAAGGCAGCGAGGATGGAAGAAGGGAGGGAGGGAAGGAAGAAAGGAAGGAAGGAAGGAAGGAAGGAAGGAAGGAAGATGGAAGGTTTGGTGATAGGCCCTTTTGTGCTTCCGTTCGATTATTTTTATTGATTGTGGATTTCGTGGAGTTGTAAAGTACTTTGGAGGCGTCTTCCTCCCCACCAATTTATTCCCCTTTTTCTGTAACTGGGTGCAAAGGGTGGAGCAATGGCTGAACTAAGATTATTATTTTCCTAACCTTTCTCTCCCATCTGTTTTTATCAAGTCCCAAAATTGTTTTTGAATGGCGTTTGCAACAGCAGCCTCAAGAAATAGGGCTAAGCGATAGTAACTGGCCCCAAATCACCCCCCTTTTTTTTGTCCTTTACTCCGAGTGTGGCCACTTACAAGCTGGCATAGGCTGTTATAGAAGCGGCTACTACAGGTAGTCCTCAACTTACAACAGTTCATTTAGTGACCATTACCAAAGTTACAACAGCACCAAAAAAAAAGTGATTTATGACCATTTTTCACACTTAATGACTTTTGTAGCATCCCCATGCTCATATGATCAAAATTCAGATGCTTGGCAATTGCTTCATACTTATAACCGTTACTATGTCCCGGGGTCACATTTTGGGACCTTTTGACAAGCAAAATCAATGAGGAAGCCTTAACGACTGTTGTTACTAACTTATCAACTGCAGTGATTCGCTTAACAGCTATGGCAAGAAAGGTCGTGAAATTTAATTTAATTTAATTTATCGCATTTCTATGCCGCCCAACTCCCAAGGGACAAGGGGCAAAACTCAAGTTAACCAATGTCTCACTTAACCACAGAGATTTTGGGCTCGATTGTGCTCGTAAGTCGAGGACTGCCTGTGCATTTTAAGTATGTAAACAATAAAGAAAAGTCAAGGTTGTAATGTTATTAATGAGGTTCTACCGTGTTACAAAAGCATCAATGCTTTTCTTTTGGTTTTTTTCCCCCCTGAATCCTACACGTCTTTCTTTTCTCTTTTCCCTCTCTCATTTTCGCACTATTTTCATTTTCATTTGTATTTTATTCTTCAACAAGTCTCATAAATAAATAAATAAAAAATCAGGTTTTTTTTTTTTTAAAAAAAGAACAGCTGGCACACAGAGTCCATTTGCTTTCGCTCAAAACTATTTTGGGGAGTTGAATAAAAAGCAAAGCCAGAAAAAACAACAAGACTGGAAACTTTGCTAAGGCCAGCCTTCCTCTATCTGTACGCCATTTCGAATGTACACATATTTAACACTTGGAGAATGCAAAGAGGTGCTATCTATGTGCGTGTGTGTGTGTGATATTTGGCCCTTCCCAATGGTTTGCGTTCTTTATCATCTTTGCAGGAGACAATCGTTGCTCCTGTCCCGTTATACAAAAATGTGGATTTTTGTATAATGGAATAACCCCCCCCCCCAAATCTTCTAAGTGTTTCTGTGCTTATCTTGAGGATGACAGATTTAGGAATGTGCAGCTTGGCCAGCTCAGAGTAGTAGCTGATATTGGATCCTTCCTCACTTGGCAACAGAGACACTCATTGTTCTGGGGGGCCCCATGCAAATGCTTGCAGCTTTAATTGCAAAAACATTTGCTAATTCCATTCATGAATGAGTTAGGACTTGCTTGGGGTTTGGGGCTATTAATAAAGGGCCAGATAGGGCAGCTTGAGTGGGTTTTGCTCTAGTGGAGTTTTCAGCTAACATACAGTAGTGGCCAAAATTGTGGAACCCTTTTGGGAAAAGTTTATTTTCTAAAACTAGCTCATAACACCACTTTTTTTTTGGGGGGGGGAGTAGAACCATAAAATTATATATCAATGGAAAGATAATTGAATCAAGAATGTAATGCAATAACTTTTATGGAGGATTTGCTGTTAAAATAGCAGTCACAGTAAAAAGAAGAAAAGTGAAACATGTAGAAAAAACGAGATATACAAAAATGATCACTGTAGAAAAAACGAGATACACAAAAATTATCACAACGTCAGTGAATACTTAGTTGGGTAACCTTTAGCATGAATTACGGCCTTACAATGTCTTCCCATGAAGTGAATCAAGTCTTTTAGTTCTGCAGCTGTTATAGTGTGAAACCAAGATTGAATGATGGCTTCTATTAACTGGGTTTTATTGCTGGGTGGCTTCTGACTAACAAGTTTCTTTAGATGGCTCCATAGATTTTCAATTGGGTTAAGAAGGTCTGGGCTATTCCCAGGCCATTCCAGCAGTGGAATAGGATTATCTTGAAACTCCAAAAGAAAAAGTGGTGTTATTAGCCATCAAACCTCAAAAATACACTTTTCTGAAAAGGTTTCTACAATTTTGGCCACTACAGTACACACTTTCTACCACAGAGGCAAGGGTGGGTTCTACTTATCTTTACTACCGGTTTGCAACGGGATCGCACACGCGCCTTGCTTCTGCGCATGTGCAGATTGCTGATGATGATATCTGGGGTGGTGGGCAGGGCCTCCCACCAGTTTTACTACCGGTTCTTGCGAACCGGTCCAAACTGGGGGCAACCCACCACTGCTCAGAGGGTAGATGTCCCTGGGTAAATACAACAAATAGATGAGATTAGTGTTGTGGTTTGGAATTTGCCAATTCCTATTGAGAAAATGAGTTCATTAAGGAAATAGCCCAGACTTCCTGATGGTCACTTCCAGGGAGCACACATTTATATATTTCCTTGCAAAATTTACAGAGGACTGTATGACTGTCTGATCAAAATCTCACACAGCTGCCTACTAATACAATGATTTGGGGAGAATGGGAGATGAATTCATTTATTGACTTACATAGTTGGGCTGAACTCCGAGCAATTTGCAATTTGGTGGCAAACATTTCGTCACCATTCGAGGAGACGTTGTCAGTGCGCTTCGAATTGTGCTCATCTGTCCAAGCACTGGTCTTTCAATACCTTTTGATATGATGCAAATTAGTGTGGATGTTATGTAATTTGCATCACATCAAAAGGTATTGAAAGACCTGCACTCGGACAGATAGAGGAGCACAATTCAAAGGACACTGACGACGTCTCCTCAAATGGTGATGAAACGTTTGCCACCAAATTGCAAATTGCTCGGAGCTCAGCTCAACAGCCCAACTACCAACCCGAACTACTTATATTCAAATACATTTCAACCACTTACATATTTATTCAGTTCTGTGGCCATCCGAATCCACAGGGACTGTGAATGGCTCTCTGTAAAAAAAAAAAAATTAAAAAAAAAGAACATGACAGCAGGAAGCGGCTCCCTAATATCCACTGATGAAATACTGAAATGTTGATTTCCAGTTCTTGCTTCTCCTTAACCAACCCTGATTTGCCAGGCTATCCTAAGATAGACCCAAAGCACCGCCTGAGTCAGAGAGCAAAGGTATGATGACAAAAACCCTGTGGACTAGGGATATGTTCTTTTTCTTCTTCTTCTTTAATTCCTCCAGCAGGCTAATCATTAGAACAAATTTCCGAGCGGACTTACCGCCCAGTTCTGAGTTTTGAATTGTGCACTATTTTCCTAACCGACCCGTCCAATATATTTTGTCGGGATGGATTGTGTTAGGTAAAGGTAAAGGTTCCCCTTGCACGTGTGTGCTAGTCGTTCCCGACTCTAGGGGGCGGTGCTCATTTCCGTTTCAAAGCCGAAGAGCCAGCGCTGTCCGAAGATGTCTCCGTGGTCATGTGGCCGGCATGACTAAATGCCAAAGGCGCACGGAACGCTGTTACCTTCCCACCAAACGTAGTCCCTATTTTTCTCCTTGCATTTTTTACGTGCTTTCGAACTGCTAGGTTGGCAGAAGCTGGGA